AATGTATCTACCCAGTATTCTCTTTTGCTATTTTCATTTTTTTGTTTTTGTTATTTATTAGATTATATGTATACCTGTTCATGAACTGGAAAAATCTTGTAAAATATAATATAGATAAATAGCTGTTATTCCATTTTTAATAAATCTTCTTAGTATATCGTTTAAATAATGGCTATTATTAATTTCTTCTTCACTAATAAAAATTTGCCTAAATTTTTTATATTTTATGATTACTTCCCTTTCTTTTTCTTTTGTCAAATAGAGCTGTGTCAAATATTTATTAATTATTACATGAGATGTAGGAAATTGATTTTCATGGCGACTATGGTTTGTTGTTATAACCGTAAGGTATTTCATTAGAGTCATCTATATGATTAATTTCATTATTTGTAGAATCCATTCTACTTAAAAAAAAACGATTTTCTTTTCCCTTCACATAGTCTATTTCAAAGTCGTATTCGTTTAATCTGATTCGCCATCTTTGTAATTTGGCATTCGGTTCCTTTAATGAATGCAACCATTTTAAGGGTTGGTGGTCTGTTCTTATTAGGAATTTTGTACCATATAAGTATGGCCGAAAATATTTAGTGGCCCATACCATGGCGAGAAGTTCCTTCTCTATAGTAGAGTAATTGCATTCGTGATTAGTAAGGGTTCTGCTAGCAAAGCAGATTGGATGATTTCCTTGCGAGAGGACTGCTCCAATCGCGAAGTTAGACGCGTCCGTTGTTAATACAAATTTCTTTTTGAAGACAGGGTAACGGAGTATGGGATAACTGGTTATTAATGTTTTTAATTTTTCGAAGGAGTCTTTATATTGTATGTCATTTACATCGATCTTATTGCCTTTTCTCAAATATTTAGTTATTTGCTGGGCTACTTTGGCATAGTCCTTGATGAACTTGCGATAGTAGCTCGTAATGCCCAAGAAACTTTTTATCTGCTTCGGAGTCTTAGGCAGATTGATTTGTTTAATTACATTAATTTTATCTTCGTTTGGTTTTATTCCCTCTGATGTTAGTATGTGTCCTAGATATTCAGTCTCTTTCGAGAAAAATTTGCATTTATCCACTTGTATTTTTAAGTTAAACTCTCTTAGTTTTGAAAATATTTTATTAATTGCTGAAAGGTGCTCTTGCAGTGACGTAGAGAAAATGAGGATGTCATCTAAATAGACAACGCAGATTCGTCCGATAAAGTCCTTTAAGACAAAGTTGATCATCCTTTGAAAAGTCGCCGGAGCATTCTTCAGGCCGAATGGCATCCGTACGAACTCAAAGTGACCCTGCGGTGTGGAGAACGCGGTCTTGAGACGATCTTTTTCATCCACTAATATCTGGTGAAACCCCTTTGCGAGGTCCAGAGTGGTGAAATATTGAGCGCGACCCAATTTATCGAATATAGAATCTATATTCGGTATCGGGAATTTGTCATCAACCGTAATTTCATTTAACTTACGGTAGTCGATGACAATGCGCCATTTTTGTTTGCCTGAGTAGTCCAACTTTTTTGGAACCACCCATATAGGGCTATTATAAGGACTATTGGATGGTTGAATAATATTTTGTTCTAACATTTCTTGCACTTGCCTATTTACTTCCTCTTCATGTATCTTTGGAAACCGATATATTTTACTATATATCGGTCGGGAAGTAGTTGTGATAATTTGGTGCTTTACACTTTTGACACATGTTAGTCGGTCTCCTTCTTTATAGAATAGATCTTTATTGGAATTTAAGATATATTTTAATGTTTTCACTTCTTCTGTATTCATATTTTTATTTAATAGTTTTTCGAATAATTCATTATGGTTAATTTGTAAGGGTTCTATTTGACAAATATTTTTGAAAGGATAAGCTGAATTGAATTTAATTTTGCGATTGTTAATTTCCAACCACCCTTTCGAAAGATTAATGTTTGCTTCTACTGGTTTTAAAATATTTTGGCCTATGAGAGCGTCAAAGTTTCTGTTGCTAAGGTCCATTATTTTCCAAGACATAGTTGAATTTTCATTGAACTCGTCAGGTACTTTTGTAGTTATTTCATATTTAAGGGCTTGGTTTCCTGCGAGTGTTTTTAATTGAATTGGATTTTCTAATTTATTTTGTTTGGATCGATCAAAGATATTGCCGTTTATAATTGAAGTAACTGATCCAGTGTCGATCAGACAGGTCAGTTCCTTGCCTTCTATTGTTAAGTCTACTAAGGGTAATGTCGGACAAGAGGACCACAGTGAAAATTTTCAGTGGAATGCGAATCTACGTCCATTGGAACTGGAATTGACCGATTTTCATTATAAGATGGTCCTGGTGGGTTATTACTAGTACCATCAAACTGTTGGTTGGGTCTAAAATTCCTAAAATTCTCGTTAGCAGTATAGTTTCTGCCTGTTGGTCTGTTTGTGTAAGTGTTTCTTATGTTGTTATTGTAGTTGTTGTTGTTGAAAGGCCTGTTTGTTTTTCTATAGTTATTTCTTGAATTTGTGTTATTAATTCTAAAATTTGAGTTGTGATTATTTCTAAAGTTTGTATTACTATTGTTCCTGTATGAGAAGTTATTGCCAGGAACCCTACTATCGGATATATTTGTTTCTAACAAGCTTCTATAGGCTTCTTCCAATGATTGTACGCCTTTTGTGCGTAAAAACATTGAATCTTCCCTATCCATTTTGTTTAAAAATTTTTCTACTTTTGAGATTTCGTTATTGCTTGGACTGAATTCAACAGGTTTGCTGTCGTCCAAGTCGTATTTCTAGTTTAATAAATTTAATATAGAATTTAGTTTAGTATACAAATCACTTACATTTTTACAGGTTGTGGAGTCAGCTTCTTCTTTCAGTTTTAAGTAGCTCTTTTGAACACCAAATGTTGTCTTTAGTTGTCCTTTCACCTCGTCCCAAGTTCTGGCCTGGATTCTCCTGAATCCTGCGGCCGCTGGACCTTGAATCTTGGAGTACAAGATTTTATATATGTAATTTCTGCCTTCCGCTTTTTGAAAAAGTTCTCCGTCCTTGCTTCAAAACTTTAACACAGTGTTTTTATTTTTTTAAATTTTTTGTTGTTCATTTAAATTGACTTTTAGAAAAAAAATTTGAGTGTTCTTTTTTTTCTCTTGTTTTGATTTTTTTTTGTTTTTGCACAGACGGAGTCGGTATCCTACCGACTGCGCCAATTAAATTTTATTTTCAGCCAAAACACAAAAAAAATTGTTCTCTTTTATTTATTCAAACAGTTCTTTATTTTTTTTATTTCCTTTATTTAAATAATATTATCTCACAATTTCTTAATTTTAATTATCTCACAATTACTTAATTTTAACTCACAAGAATTGTTTTTATATATTTTTATTACTTTACGATTATAAAATTACAAGAACTTAAACTAACAGCGAAACGATTTATTCGATACCAAAATTGTTATAAAACTACCAAGCAAAAACTTTCAGGTGTTAAGATATATTTTTCAAAAAGGAAATGCTTTATAAGCAAACTTTGTATAACGTTCTCGTGGGAACGAGAATTAAAATATAAAATTTGATTTTAGAATTGAAATATGATATTCTACTTTTTTATTTAAGTTCATTGTTTTTAGTCACGTTGCAATTAAATAACATGTGGCGTTATGATTTAATTGCAACGTTTAATATTAAATTAAAGGAAAGAAATTATATTTTTGGTATTATGGCGTAAGAGAATATATAACTTGCACCCAAGTTGCTGAAACATCATGAAATAAGTATGAGTTAAGTGTGCAGAAGTAGTTTTCAACACATTCGCAATTTCCGTTTTAGTTTTAAATAAAGTAGATGTTTTTCTTTTTTTCTTCTTCATTGCATAATATAGCATATTAAGACATAATATAGTAAATATGAAATTCTATTTCATTAAGTATTTTAGTTGGTTTGACATTTAATTTAGCATTTACGTATTTCTTTAAGTTATTTTAGTTAGGAAATTTTAAGCAGGCTTTCAAAGAAGTCATTAGCGTGCCCGCATGTCATTGGCGTGATCACAAATTAGCCAAACTAATGACGCCATTCTAATGACGAATTACAGGTTTTTTTTAAATAAATCGAAAAGTTTGCCCAAAAAATTTAACAATAATTATTTCAAAAATTATTTAAATTATAATAAAAAAAATAAAAACTTTTGAGAAATTTAAAGTAAAATTACTTACCACGAAAATGACAATTTCACTTGTGATACTTAAGTTTTTCTTATTCTATCTTAAAAAAATTCACTTTTCCCATAGAAAAGGTATACACTGACTTTGCACACGTAAGTACTAAATACTTACTTATCTCTATGCATTAACTTTTTAAGGCTCAAAAATTTTATGTCTAGAAAAATTAAGTTTAAGTAAAGAGAGTGTGAAATTAAGAAGTCGACAAGTATGGCGACAAGTAGAAAAACAAAAATTGAAGTAAAAACAAAAAGAGCATTGTGAATGCGGCATAAACTTGTTCAATTCTGATTTCATTAGAAATTACTAGAAATCAAAAATCAAATTTGAAATAACGAATTTTTAGATGTTTATTGGATGTAGTAGACTCGGCGACAGCCACGATAATGACAAAATCGTAACTTATCACAACATTTCTGCTAAAACAATAAAAAAATCTTAATATTTTTTTCGTGGTAACGAACTATTAGTCCGCCAGCAAATTTACGAAGTCAAATAAGCACGTTTCTGTAGAATGACCCATATGTAAATAAGAATGTGAACTTCTTCTATAATTACACTTAAGTTACAAAAGGTCCAATTATTCACCAAAAGGACCAAAGCGCCAAATTACATTAAAATTGGAGTGAAAAAGGTTTGAAGATAGCACGGAATAAGATTTGAAATTTGTGTAAATTATAGATACTTATTTTATCGCAATTCATAATTTTACAACAATATCTAAGCTACAATGTTTATGCAATTCTGAAAAATTACGAATTTAGTATTTTATTGATCATAAATATGTTGGAGTTACCTATGGTTTTTCAGAGTATATACCTTTTCAAATAAACTTCGACAAACATTTTTGTATAAGCTGTAAGTAAAATGAGCTTGCAAGTCCTCTATTCTGGAAGTCAAATCTTCTACTTTTTCTGTGTGATCTATAGAGCTAGCATATAGCGTAAAAAACCAACCCAGACTATACTGATACATGGGATTAATATGCGCCAAATCAACTGAAATGAAAATATTTAAGAGAAAAAAAATATTATATTTTGCTTTACCTATTGTGAAAAATAAATTAGATGCATGCCTAGCAATTGAGTTATAAGCTTCTCGAGCGATATTAATTTGCCCCTCAGTCAAAACGGCAAGTCCTTGTTTCTCTTTTATTTCGTTTACTAGAAGTTTTGCTGAGCAAAGGGTTTTTACCGAAGACTCATCTTCTAAAATACTTTCCACCGTAGAAAGAATGTCTAAAATTTTCTTTTCAGAATCAAACAATGATCTGCTACTTTCGTCCTCTTGAATAATTAATGCATTTCTGTCTGCTTCTAAATCAGGTCTTTCCTTAGACACCGTAATAGATAAAAGTTGATCTTGCAATCCGTGTGCTGTAATCATAAAATTTATTAACACAACCCTTGCAGTTGTTTCCGGTAAATAATGGGGATTGCTTAATTTTGTAGTAATGAAAAATCTGAAAAAAAATTTTGTCGTTAACGTTTTATTAGAAAATATATCTAAGTATATTCGTATATGTAATATACATATATATTTATATACTACACAGTGCAAGTATATACATATATATATAATACCCTGCATATAATATATATATCTATATATTGGGTGTATTGGCATATACCTGCACGTCGATCTTCGTTAATACGAAAAAACGTTGTTATTAAATAACCCTCCGAAGTAACAATTTTTATCTCAAAAGACTCTTGTAGAGCTATATTAAGATTTCTTTAAGAATATTACTCTTATAATTCTTGTAGAAAACAAAAAAAAATCCTAATGGGATCTTTATAAGAACAAAAGAGCGCAGTTACTAGAGTTATTAATTCTTGTAATGAGAGTTAAGCTCCCATTAAAAGAGTTCTTATGAGCATATTAGTTTTGGTATATGAAAACTCTCATAAGCCATGTATAATAGTGTAACTAGAAAGAGAAAGCAGTACATTGTAGAATAAATTTATCGGTCTTACTTTGAACTTTATAAAAAATATATCTATATCGCTTTTAATAATTATTATTTTAGGAAAAATGAAACAAAATATACATATGGTTACGTATACTATATGTAATCAATAAAATATTTGTTTTAAAAAACTTAATATCATAAAATTATAAATATGGGAAATTAAAATAATTTTTTTGCCATGATTATAAATCAAAAAGTTGCTGGCATTAAAATTTTATTGATAAAAGTTGATATTGTACTTCGAAAAAAAGCCACGCCAACTAAAAATAATTAAAATTTAAAAAATTTTCATCCATATTTTTAAACGCTATAATATCTTATTTCTTTTTTTTTTACATAAATTTTAAAATTTAATAAAGTTGGGTCAAACCAATGGTTTGTATTGTAGCACTTTTCCCTTCAACAAGTGAAAATTCTGCTTTTAAAATACTGTCTATGTATACCTATCACACTATAAAAATTATTTTCATTCGTATACGAAACTATTTCTGGGATTGCATATATTTAGGATGAACGATTTATGCAGTCTTTGAAATAAAGCAAAAATTAATAAAAAGTGAGTTTAACATAATGTTCGATTTTAAGGGTTAATTGCGTGAGTTAAGAAAAATAATAATATCTTTTAATTAATAACTTGAGAGGGGGTGGAGATGGAAAAAAATTTAAGCATTTATTAGTGTCTAAAAGTCCTTAAAATTTCAGGCTTCTAGAGGCTGGGTTCTAGAAAATAAACGACGTCAAAAATTTGGAAAAAACGGACTTTAGATAACGGTAAATTTGAGCGGCCATTTTGTTTTTCTAAAGTTAACCTTTAGTATACCCCGCTAGGTGAAGCAAGCCACTGCCTTTTTGCGTTTGCAAAATCTGAAAAATGCTTATGATTTCATTGCACTAAATAGTTAAAAAATGGCATTTTTTGGGTTTCGGGGGGGGGGGGGGGGGGGAGGTATAAATTTTGTTCACCGAAAATAAGTTTCTAGTAAAGATCTATGTACATACAAAATTTCAGCTTTCTATCTTTAAGGGTGTAGATGTTTTGTAAACAGACACACGGACAAACGAACGGACGGACGGACAGACGGACGGACGGACGGACGGCCGGACACAGTGAAACTAATAAGCACTTTTTTTCAAAATAAGTATAAATAAGTATAAATAAATAAATATACTAATGGGCATTAATTCCAACTAAAGCTTTATTATATTCAAATAAAACTATAATTTTGCATTTCATTAGTTTTAATTTAATAGTTTCTCATTAGGGTTAAAATTTAGAAAAGGAGAAATGACAATACTAAAATGGTCGTGCCTAACAACTAGACTTATAAAGAAATTCTTTTAAGAACAAAATTCTATAAGAGTTGACATCTTATAAAAAAATGAGAATTAAAATTTTTTATGACTTCCTGAAAGTAGTTTTGCTATGAGAGTTGCAGAATTTTTAACACTACAAGTGCTTATTACATTATTACATTATAAGAACCTTATGAGAGTTGCATAAAAACAAAAAAGGAAAAAAAAAATATGAGAGTATTGGAGTGTGGTATGAGAGTTTTATGAGAGTTTTATGGTACAGAAAGGTGGTACAATAATAAGTAATTTAAACACAATAATAAGTAATTTAAACACAATAATAAGTAATTTAACCACAGTGGAAAAAGTTTTTTTTTTTAATTAAGGGTTTTTTTTGGTCGGATAATATGAAAAGTATTTAACTTTTGAAAATTCAGAAAGCTTGTCCATTGATTGCCACGCTTTTAAAATATGTACCAGACTAACAACGATCTATTACTAGCGATTTAACGATATTTATAATCTGATACATTTATTTAAAAACTCATATCGCATTATACACGTACATACATACATATAAATTATACATATATATTATACATATATACATATTATAATCGGAGGACGTTACAAAAACAATTCTTAACATTTTATGTTTTAGATTTTTTGAAGTATTCCAATTGAAATTCTTTTTTATTTATTTTGTGAAAGTTTTGGTATTCTTTGCAACTCTAATTTTATTTTGCACGGTTTTAAAAGCGATGTAGATTATGATATTTTTTTGCTTTCTTTTAATTTTTTTTAAATTCAATTTCTTATTCAAAAATTTTACTCTTTAATTCAGGAAACTTCCATTTGGAAAGGTTGGCTTTGTTAAAAATTGTTATATTTTTAAATGCAATTTTCAGACGAACCCATTTTTATACCCTGCACTTCGTGAAGGGTATATTAACTTTGGTATGGAGTTTTTAACTACTTGAAGGAGTCATCTGCGGTATGGACATATATATATATTCTTGCTCAGCGTAAAATTCTGCGTTGATTTAGACATGTCCGTCCGTCCGTCCGTCCGATCGCACGATAACTCAAAAACGAATAATGCAATCGACACCAAACTTTCACAAGTTGCTTCTTTTGTGCCAAGGACGAACTCTATTGTTATTGGACCAATTCAGACAACGGGTTCGGGTAGCTGCCATACACTCCAAAGAGTTTATTTTAATTATTTCAAAAACTAATAAAGGTACAAATATAAAATTTTGTATACATGTGTCCAATTATATTCTACATATGCTCTAAAAATTTTAATGAGATAGCTGCACCGGTTGGGGTGGGTGCCATACAACTCCAAAAGCAAATTTTTTATATTCGGCAAAATAATAAAGTCAGATTCATGAAACTTGGCAGTCGTGTGTCCAATTATAGGTCAAACATATTTCTGAAGTTTTGGTGGAATTGCTTGACAGGTTCCAGTAGCTCCCATACAAGTCCAAAAGCTTCCTTTAAACATTTGAAAAAATAAAAAAGTTAGATTCATGAAACTTGGCAGTTGTGTGTCCAATTATAGATCAGATATACCTGCGCAGTTTTAGTGGAATTGCTTGACAGGTTCGGGTACCTGCCATACAACTCCAAAAGCTAATTTTAAATATTTGGAAAAATAATAAAGTCAGATTCACGAAACTTGGTAGTTGTGTGTTCAGTTATAGATCAGACATATCCGTGAAGTTTCTATAGAATTGTTTCACAGGTTTGAGTAATTGCTATACAACAACGAAAGGTGCAGGGTATAATTCAATCGGTTCATACCGACTGAAACGTTTTTACTTGTTTTAAATTTAAAATTAAAAAAAATATGTAGAATCAGTACAGCTAAAAATGTTAATCATTTTCCTTCACTTAAATAATTTCCGACGCCCCTTCAAATGAAACTCAATATAATTTTGGACTTTATTTTTGATTTACTCTCTGAGCTTGGTGGCCTGATAGATTTATATGGTATTAATATGTATTTTTTATTTGACCATTATATTATATCAGACTTTCAACCAAGTATAAATTTCTTAGGTATGGAAAATTTTTACGATTTTCCTAATTTCGCTAGACCCATCTATTTATTGAGCTTTGCTGAAATCTGCATCAGATTTTATTTTTCTTATACACAAAAATACAAAAAAAAAACAAACCCAAAAAGGAAAAAGTAAAAACATTTTAGTTCGCATAAACCAGTGATTCCCAAAGTGGTCTATATATACTCTCAGGACCCATGAAGACCTGCTAGTGGTCTACAAAGGTAAAAAGAGGGGGTTTATCAAATAAAAATGGGTAAATAAACCTCACTAAATAAATACCAAACGTTGGTAATATGTTATGAAGCCATCAAATTTATCCCCCCATTAAATTATTTTTATTTTTTATAAATGTGTGACAATATTGATTAGAAAAGCATGTGAACAAATTTTGCATATCGAGTTTTCGGTGAGAACGCACTTCTCTATGGTAGAGAAATGTAAATAAACTATTTCTAGCAACCTGCCGGTCTATCGGTCTGCCGGTCTGAATGTGCACGCGTATATCTCAAGTTCGGCTGAACCGATTTTGAAGAAATTTTATATGTAAGTTTATTTCGATTATGGCACGGATTGATCAATTTTTGGGATATATAAGACGAATTGATCAGATTTGGGATTTATATATAAGCTTTGCTCGATCCTCCGCGAAATCTTCTAACTTTTGGAAGAAATCAGATGTCAGCAACTGGACTTTTACTACGGGCCGAGTATACATTTTTGCGTATACAAAGAAAAATAATGAACCGATTTCATTGAAATTTAATATTTAAATTCTTCGTATTGAAACATATATATATATATATGTTTCAATATATATATAATGAACATATAAAGTTTTTGGAAAGATCAGGGTTCAACAACTAATTTGCCGGCCGATTTTACGTGTTCCACCATATCTAAGGAACGAAATTATGGAATTTCTTGTAATTTGAAATTTGAGTTCTGGTTGTTACCGAAATTAACTGACGAACATTTCAGGGAATTTGGATAGCAAAAAGCGAAGCTCTACTAAGAGCCAAATTTACATTTTTCTAGGTATGTTAACTACAAGCTTACTAATGTCCTAAAAATTGGAAAGAAAGTTATACAGACATTTTCACTATAGACAGACAATAGTTTACAGAC